CGGGGTGTGCGGCTGTCGCGCAGCCCGTGACCCCGGGAAGGGGACTGATCGGTGCGTGTGGAGGGATTTCGGATGAATTTGTGATAGCTCAGGGAGCCGGGGACCTGACCGCTGCGCTGGGATCTTACGGCTCAGGGAAGCAGCTTTGGTCTCTGTCGATGTGAAAATCACCACCTGGGCAGGGAGGGTACGTGCTTGCAGCATTGGTTTCTGAGGTGTAGCTTCCTGCCTGTGACAGCATTGTTAATTATGCACAAATCTCAGAACAAGACTTTTCCTAACATGTATTTTTCCTATTTTAGCTTAGAAAAACCCCACTGTAACATGTTTTGGGCATAGCTGTTTCCTGTTGTAATTCTGGTTATCACAGTCTTACCCATTGCATGAGTTGGGGTGAGGGCTCAGCTGGGTTAAAGGCTCTCACACTTTAATCTTGGTAATGTGCCAGGTGTTCCCAGAGTGACTGTGGCTTTGTGGGAGAGCAAAAAGATTACACAGTCTATCTGTTGTCTTCTTACAGTCCACAGAAGCTTTGGAATTCATGAAACGGGACCTGGCTGAGTTCACTCAAGTAGTGCAGCATGACACAGCTTGCACTATCGCTGCTACGGCCAGTGTGGTCAAGGACAAGCTGGCAGTGAGTATAGGAGTAAGAGAGCTGGGATTCTTGTTGCAGAAAGCAAAGCAGGGGATGAATAAGAGGACATGATCCTCTGAACAAACCCCAGCATATAACCATGAGCTTCAGGTTTCAGATTTTCTCCCCGGTGCAGGTTTGGTGCCGAGCACTGTGTGGGATTTCCTTGCTGTAGTGGTGAGGAACCTCTGGAGATGCGTGGGGAAAGGTTCCCTGTGCCTTCCCTCTCCCTGTGTGCCGTGTAGGTGGGATGCTGGCGGTGTCGCTGTAGTATGACATCAGATCTCCGCACAAGCTGTCAGCCTTAGCCCTACACAGCTGCCGCTATGACGGTCCAACCCCTAGACCAGCCAGTCCACGAACCTGGCTGTGTCCTTCCCCCACAGCCGCCTGAGGCTGGTGCCTGCCCCCACACCCTTCTGGCCCAGCCCTGGCCACACAGTCGCTGCCTCAGCACTTTTTTGTAGGCAGAGACATCCTGCTTCCTTAAAGGAAAACCTATCCAGAACAGACTGAGACTTGTCCTGCTGCTGCAGGCACTGTTACTTACACTGTGCTGCTTTTCCTCTTCAAGAGGACAGAAGGTTCCTCAGGTGCGACAGAAAAGGTGAGGAAAGGGCTCTCTGACTTCCTGGGTGTCATCTCAGACACGTTTGCTCCCTCTCCGGATAAGACCATTGACTGCGATGTCATAACACTGATGGCAACACCCACAGGTACCACAGAGCCCTATGACAGCGCCAAGGTGAGTGCCCCGTTCTGGAGCTTCTCTCCGGGACATGGAGTCCCGAGCCCTGCTCTCTGGGGGCTCTGCCGCTCCGCTGACGGCTCAGCCCCTGTGCCTTCTCCTCCAGGCTCGCCTCTACAGCCTCCAGTCAGACCCAGCCACCTACTGCAATGAACCTGATGGTACGGGGGGGCTTGGCGTGGGGTCTGTGGGCCATCCTGAATTGGCTGGAGCCTTTTGCCGGGAGTGTGCTGGCTCGACTGTAGATGGGGTCACTGTTTATGGAGAGCAGATCTGTGTGTTGCAGCTTAGACTAGCTTAGACTGGGAGATTGCTGGGCCAGTTTAAACTGCCACTACAGCTGGCACTATGTGCCCTTGTGCTGGCAGAGGACCCACGACGTGGGGTGGGCTCAGAGACCCACGTCTCCCTCCTTCTATGCCCCTTGTTCACCCCAGCTGGTCTGGTCTGTAGCATCTTTCCAACGAAGCTTCCCCAAACTGTTCCTGCCTTGTTTGTGCTGAGGACGGTTATCTCTGTGCTTGTCCTGTACAGGCCCTGCTGAGCTCCTTGAGGCCTGGCTCTCTCAGTTTAACCTAGAGGAGAAGAAAGGGGAGATCGCAGAGCTGCTGGCAACCAGCCCTTCCATCCGGGCTCTCTACACTAAAATGGTAAGGCCTTTCCTGGCTCCTGTAGTGGGCAAGTTCTGACTTGGGATCTGGTGCAGGGAAGCCCTGAGCTGTTTGGGCCCCAGAGCTGGTGTTAGGATTGTGGTTGCACGGCAAACGGGCACAGCGATATCAGGCGGCATATTGTATTATTCTTCTCTGCTTGTTTGTCACTGGCCTGAAACAGAAGTTCCTCTTTAGCTGTCTGATGCGTGTCTGAGTGTCTTCCCATGCGTACCTGGGGCTTGGTCCTGAGTCTGTGCACCTGAAAATGCAGGTGCCTTGCGCAGGTTATGAGGGTAGTTGCGAGGCTCAGGAGGAGAGAGGAGTAAGGCAGCAACTGCAGCCCTCTCTCTGAAGTGACTCATGGTGTTTCCTGTGTCACTGCCAGGTCCCGGTGGCTGTTTCCCATTCTGAGTTCTGGCAGCGCTACTTCTATAAGGTGCATCGCTTGGAGCAGGTATGTCAGGAGGTGGGTTCCTCCCCCAGGGGGTGGGTGCTCCAGCCAGGGAGCTCTCTAATGCAGACCAAAGAGGGAGAAGATACTTCTCCTGGAAAAGCAGGGATCTGGTCTGCCTTGTCTGTGTCCTCCCTATCACTGACGCTGAAGTGCCTGGGGGAAGAAGGGACTGGGGACGTGAGCGGCTGCTGACGCAGAATTCCCTGCAGGATGAAGCCCGGAGGGAGGCTCTGAAGCAGCGAGCGGAGCAGAGCATTCACCAAGAGGAGCCGGCCTGGGAAGAGGATGAAGGTGGGTCGGATGGTTGGGGATCTGCGGGAGGGCTTGTGCAGACCTTGGCAGGTCTCAGTTAGAGAGGGTGGTGGCTACTCCTTGCTCTCACAGATTTCAGCTCCCAGCCCAGCTGTAGCCAAACCTGCTGCACTGTCAGCTGCTGCTGCGCTTGCTGAAACATCTCTCACTTCTCTTCTGCCTTCCTACAGAGGAGTTCTTGGGGATGTCACCCCTGCCTTGTGCAAACATGAAATTTCCAGAAGCAGCAGAGAAAGAATCTGCCCCTGCAGCCCTGGAGGGAAGCCACCCCACTGCTCAGAAGGGACCCTCAGAGGAAAGCTGGGCCGTCCTCCCTCCGGAGCCGGCCCCAGCGGAGGGGAGCCCCTCTGAGAGCAGTGAGAGCATCTCCCTTGTGACTCAGATTGCAAACCCTCCCTCTGTGCCTGCTGCACAGCTACAGACTGGAGCACAACCAGCCGGGGCCAGAGACGTCTCCCAGAGGCTGCTGGAGGCCACCTCAGAAGAGCAGAGCTCCCTGCCAAAGCCCCCAGAACCTGGTCACCCTTCTGCACCTGCCCGGGAGTTGGCAGCATCCTCAGAAGAACCGGCTGTTACGAAGCTCAAAGAGGTGGAGAGCAAAGCCCAGGGCAGGACAGAGACTCTGAAAGAGGAGGGACCAACAGATCTACGAGTCTTTGAGCTGAACTCGGACAGTGGGAAATCTACTCCCTCCAACAATGGCAAGAAAGGTGTGTATGTGGGGTCGGCACAGGGCCTGGAAACCACCTGCTGGGGGTGGCAGCTTTGGGGGAAAGGGCTCCGATTTTGTGATGATGGGGGAGGAGAAAAGGGGTTTTGCCAAAATCACCCAGGAAGGTTCGATCTAATGGCCAGAACTGAAGTGGAAGCAATTCCTTGTGCTGTTGGGCAGGGTCAAGTTGGTCACTTCAGATGGTGACGATCTGCTCTGGGCAGGCTGCTGGCTGGTGCTGCAGCTGGCTCTGGCCTGAGCCCTGTTCCTGCTGCGCCCTCAGGGGAACGGGGTGAGACTCCTCTAGGACCTGAGGAGGGACGTGTTGCAGCTCTGGCTGATACGACAAACCTTTCACCGCAGGGGATTCTGCCTTCAGCAGAGCCTGCTGCAGGTCTCCCACAATAACGCTTATGTGGGTTATAGGATTATAAAGTCACTGGAAGCAACCAAAGCTCCAGCTAGGTAGCCAAGTATCATGAACTGGGCCTGTGAGCAGAATTAAATTAGACAAGGAATCAAAAGTCTGTCGGCTGAACAGGATGGACCTTTGGTCCCTGGCCTGCTGGGTGCTGGGGCAAGGCTGTGGTCTGTGTAGGAAAAGTGTTTCCTTCCCTCTGCGTATCACCCCTGGGAGTGTCCCTGCTCCTCCTCTGCTCCAGGAGGTTGTTCTTTCTGTTGGGGACTATGGCAGTCTCCATATCTAAGTCACTCCTGTTATTCCTTATCTGTTGCACTTTCTGTGTGACTGAAGCGTGACACATCCTAGTTCTCCTAGGCCAGAGGAGAACATGTTTCAGCATTCACCTCTCCCACTTATTCTGAACCGGCCCTTGCTGCGAGGGAAGTGCAGTTCAGTCTCTGTTAGCAAGCTGCCAGCCCAGCAGCCTGCTCTTGGGAACGGGGGAGGTTTCCTCTCCTTGGGCAGACTGCAGTAGATCTGAGCCTCGTGCATGCCAGGGCTTTGCGGGCCTGCTTGGGCAGCTGTGCGTTTTGGCCAGAGTGTCCGGAGAACATGTGCTGCTCCGACAGCTCAGTCGTGATGTTTGTGGTTACAGGCTCCAGCACTGATATCAGCGAGGACTGGGAAAAGGACTTTGATTTGGACATGACTGAAGAGGAGGTGCAGCTGGCGCTCTCGAAGGTGGAAGTGTCTGGGGAGGTGAGTCAGGGGGAGGTGCTCGCTCAAACAGGCAAGAAGGTTGCTCCCAGAAACCATTGGCAGCTCCTTGGGGTGATGCTACGTGAGCTCTGTCATCACTGGGTGCTTCCCCGGGAGGAGGAGAGAGGCTGCAGTGCCTCAGAGCAAGAGGGCGAATCCCTCAGCTTGAGCCCCGCTTCCAGCCCCTGTGCTGGTGCCAGGGCTGTGCTGCATGTTTTGCCCTGGAGGGGCAGCGCTGCAGCAGGCAGCTGCCTGCCTAGAGCGGCTCGCAGGAGGCTTCTCAAAGGTGTGATTTGCTCTTTGGGGCCGCAGGCTTAGCTTGGGATCTCACTGTGGGAGTCGTGGGTGTGAGCTGGAGCAGAGAGTGGCTGTTTGGATGTGCTTAAAGAGGGATGAGCGTTCAGGTTCCCTAAGGGAAATGGAGCAAGCAGATCCCTGCTGTGAGGGTGTTGGGAGCATGGGGATATGTCAAGCTTTGCGCTGACTCGGGTGCCCTGGCCAGGAGGATCTGTTGACAGATGGCTGTTGAGTTACAGAAACAAACAGAGAGGTGTTACTCTTGTTTGCAGCTGGAAGACGAAGAGTGGGAAGACTGGGAATAAAGCGCCTGCTTCCAGTGTGTGTCACAGGCTCATTTCCACCATCGAATGTGAATTAAATCACGGACTGGCTGTTCCTTTCTGTGTAACTGTGCCGGGGATTTGAGTTCCAGGCTGGAGCTAAATCCTGTGGGCAACTCAAGTGACCCCTTCAGACCAGGAGGAGGAAGCAGGAGTTCACTCGTACACTTAGCTGCTAGGGAGCCCATCTTCTCAGTAGGTCCTAGAGACTGGCCAAGCCAAAACCGACTGCCCCGAAAGTGTCGGGCAGAGGCAGATGCGATGCAGTGTGGGGTCCCCGGGCCAAGCTGGGCACTTGGACACCTGGCAGGATTGTTTGGTGCCACCAGACTGCCAGCTGGCTGATTGCTTGTGTGTGTGCGTGTGTAATCTACAGTACAGCAGTTCAAAGGCTCTTGGATGCAAGCTGTGCCCGCTCGCTTACTGCTCCGCGCTGCTGGCCAGGCCTTCCCTGGAGAAAGCCCTCGTGCAGCGAGTGGCTAGGGGCTGGAGATGCTGTAGTAGAAGCCCTTTCTGCTGTGCCACTCTGCTGCACAGGAAGGCAGTTGGCTTGTGGCTTTGACCCAAAGGCCATGCTGGAAGGAGCCAAGCTCCCTGCCAAACCCTGAGCTTCTGCCTGCCTTTTTGTCTTGGGAGCTTTTTTTAAATGGAAACTCCCATTTCCTGCTGCAAGAGCAGCAGCTCCTCGAGGAGCCAAGGCCTGCTGCTTCCCCCTTTGCAGCTGCACTACCTTCCTCTACTGCGTTTTGTGTACTTCTCGTTACATTTTCCAAGCAAAGTACTTGTGGCTTGCTCTCACTTGAGCCCTTCTGGGCAGGTGGTGATTTGGGGCACCCTGGGAGCAGAACCCCTCTGTTGCGGTGCTCAGTTCAGCCCTCGCGAAGCCCCTGTCTGGCCCACTCACCGCTTTAACCTCCGAGGCAGAAGCACCCACATGTGGGTGGTACCGTGTCTGTCCCCTGCTCTGCCCCCGCCTCGTGTCCCACCTGTGCCGGGCCCCATGGCCACCAGGGTCCCCAGCCTCGCTGTGCTCGCTTGAGTTCTTTCACTTAAGCCCCCCTGTGACTGCTTGCAATGATTCCTTTGGACCCACGGCCTCTCTTTTTGGGGCAGTTCCCTTCTAATGTCACGAGATGCTCCTCAGTGGATGTTGCTAATTAATATACAGCTATCCTAAAGGGACAGAGCCCTCGCTGCTGTCTCTGGCCTTTTGGGTGGTGGGTTTATATGTGCTACCTTTGTCCTCCTGCCCCTTCCAGGGCTGCTTCATCAGAGCTCTGGGTTTCCTTCTGGTTTTGGATAGCATTAACCCAGGTGCACTTGGAA